TTGCTAAAATAAAATTTTTCATGTAAGAATTCAAATACATTATGTTTTGAAATTGGGAGAGGTTCAGTAACATTATACTAGTAAATTTATATAGTGAGTTACAATTACCTGCAATGAAGAATTATTATGTTCTCGTTATTTCAAATATAAAAAAACAATTACACATTACAATTCCTTTCAAAATTAATAGAAAGTTTTAATTCCACACTATAATTATTTGTAATTAGTAATGAAAGGGTAATTAAGCTACAAAAGTAAACAACAGTTCACAGCTATATTTATGATAAGTTCTACCTTATAAATATAATATATTGGAAAATCAAAAAAATTTTGGTTTTGCAAGTAATTGAAGAAGAATTGATTATAAGGAGATCAAATGTTTGTTCATCTCATATTAATTTTTTAATAAAACAATTTTTCTTTATACCTTACAAATACTGCATTATCATATGCAGTATTAAAACCGTTGTTCATCCAGTTTAATAAGCTGCATGCTGGTGGGAATATGTGATAAATTAGATCTGTCAAGATCTTTGTAAAATGGTGAAGAAAACGTCGAAAAACGTTTCACTTACCGACAAAAATCATTTAATTCTTAAGTTGCATATATGTAGATAATTCAATTAAACTGCATGTAAATCTAGACAGATAAGGTTTTCATATCAATTTTACTTAGCAGAACTTATAACACTCTTTCTAAATAATTTATTCAAATAATTTTTTTGTTTTTATTAGGAGATTGCATTTGGTTTTTATTAGTTTCTTGTAAAATTAAAAAAATTCTGTAGTTAGACCTCGAAAACTGAATCCTCTGCAACACTCTCTTTCTAGCGCAAAATTAAACTCGAAAACGACTATGACAACCAAGAACGTAAGGTTTCAAAGGTAAGACACCATTATTCTTTATTAAAATTGAAAAATGGTAGAAAATTATTGAGAAATATTGGAAAAGATTTTAATTTTCACTAAAAACGTTAATACTTTTTCAAACTAATTAATAACATAAATGATAAAAATTAATTAATTTGTATATTATTATTATTATTGGCTAAGAAAATGAGAAGAAAAATTAATTTTGTTCTGTGATAAGAAATCTATTTGGTATAAATAGAAAAGAGCTTAAATAATAGGGAACTGTTTAAATCCGAAATATTCTTTCAATTTTTAATCAAGTTAATTTTTGGGCTAACATTTAATTAGTTCTAATTATTTAGAAAACAAATGCAATTGATAAAACCTGAAATAAAATAAATAAATTACAATAGTATTGTAATTTGATTTCGTTCCCTAATGTCACTGTCAACTTCCTTTAATGTAGGAATACATATCTAATCCAATTGGTACGTGAGCAAAATATTCAATGGTGGAGGCATGTATACATAAATCTTTCTTAATTTCGTTACTTGCTAGCAGTGAATAAGTAAATAAAATAAGAATAAAATTTATTAATATGTTTTATTATCTTAAAAAAACAAATTTTTTTATTTAAAATACATTTTTTTATTTATTATGAATTTTATTATTGAAAATGAATTTTATTATTGAAAATGAATTTTATTATTGAAAATAAATTTTATTATTTAAAATAAATTTATTTATTTAAAATAAACTTTTATGTAGACTCCAATCAAACGTTTTAATTGTTTATATCAATAAAACTTTTCTTTGTTAATATTATCTCTATATCTACTCGCACTTCGGCAGCACGTCAATAATAATTTATGCGTATAAAAATACAGTACGCATAAAAAAATGAACTCTTTTTTTATATGAAAATGATTACCACGAATTTATGCTCATCTTTGCTTGCACCCCACATTCATACTCGAATACAACAAAACCATTGCGAATTAAACCACAAATAAACAAACATAATTAAATGAATTGAATGTCAGTGTAGACACCAAATCCGACATGAGATACAAAGTGTGCAATTAATTTGTAATAATGAGCTGAGCACAATGTTTGATAAATTCTCTCCTTAATTAAGTGCGCGAACTTACTATAAACAAAAAACAACACTCATAAAACAAAAACAACAAGAAAAACTTGAAACATGAAATGAAATGAAAAAAAAAACAAAAACAAATATTCCCATACGTTCAGCTGCTAAACGCCAAACAGTGATAATTGCAAAGAGTGAGCTTTTGGTGCTTAATGACAAAAACAGCTGTCGAAAGCTGTAAAGTGCAAAACAAGGCATAAAACAGAATTTCAATAAAATACAAAGCAAAAGAATCACAACAAAATGTAATAACACGGAGCTTCATTGAAAATAAAAACAACACGACAAAAAAAAAATTAAATACAATTTACTGCACAATGTGCAGAGTGGATGTTTGATTTACTCATTCCATTAGAGAACTCTCGCTCGCACTCTTCTAACTAACGAAAGAAATACATTTCTGTTTGATTTTTGTTACTGTATGGAGAAGACAAAACAAAAAAAAAAATTAACAAATACGTAACATTTTAACGAGTATAATTCCAATCACAGAAACTGCACATTTATTTTATAAATTAAATACAAACACAATTATCTACGTGCTTTTTGCTTTTTCTACAATATTACTAATAAATAATTACAAAACCAATCTTTTGTTATTGTAATTGTTTCTTTTAAAGTTACTATTAATGCTTTTTTCTCTGTGTGCTTTGACCGTTTGACTTTGTTGCAAATCATACTGGTTTTTTCGTTAAAAGGTAAACGACATGGGCGACTTCAAAAATGACGGTTAAAAAATTTTAGCGCCCAATTAGTGTTCAATTTACTTCACACGTAGAGTTTTAACTCTATATACATATATACATAAGCCGTGTGCGAGTTCGAGTAAATTGTGGTAAAGTAAATTGAAATTTCGTTGTGTTTTACACTGCATTTATGTAAATATTTATATATTTACTTATTGCACTTATATATTATTTTTGCTTAAAAGTTGACAAATTTAGTTATTAAACATCTTATAAAATTTCTACAATGGCAACACCTAATTTACCTAATTTTACCTAACCTAACTTACTAATAATTTACCTAACCCTACTTGAAATTCTGGTAAATACCAACATTCACTGCCATACCGACATAATTTACTATTTCCCTCAATTTACCATCAATTTATTCGAACTCGTATACGGAATATATCTCTATAGATATATTCATTTTTATGAATAAAATAATCTTAAAAATTAAATTTAATAAAAATTTCATAACAAAATCTCTACTTGTTTAATGACTATATGGTAGTTACTATCTAAATGATATAAAAAAAGTCTTATATAAATATTAAAAAAAATATAAGATTATTTTTAACAATGTTATATATTGCAAGAAAAAATACTTTATATACATATACTGATCATAAAATAAATTTAATTGTTGTGTTTTTTTCTTTAAATTAATATAAAAGCTTCAAATATTATATATATATTTTTTTTTTCTTGCGTATATTACACATTATGTAGAACATGTTTCATATATACCATTCATAATATAATTATAATTATTGTTTTCTTTTGTATTCTGTTTTTTTTTAAATAATAATAATAATAAAAATATGTTTTAATTAAATATCAAAAATATTTAGATTTTATTTTGTAATACCTCAACCTCAATAAAATAGAATTTTTTCTATATAAATTTTAAATGTGTTCCTTCAATATTATATATGCTTACTTCTTCCTACGTCATACATGAAAACGTTTTGATAGTCCATTTAGCGTCGAGAATATTAAAGCCAGCTGCTTTTCAACTAAAAGTATTATTTTTTGGCACAGCTCACATTCAATAGTTTTAATAACGTATAATATGCATTTATTGCGTCTCTGAATTATTTAAATATTGCTCAAATTTGCAAATGTATACTTTAAATGCAAGTTGTGATGTCAGCATTAAGAATATTGAAAATATTATTAATTTTTCAATAAACAATAAAATTTATTTTTTCGAATAAGCTTAATGTACTACAACCATGTGATATATACACAATACACCGTTTGTAGATTGCACTGTTTTATAAATGGTATCTTTATCACCGAACCTATAGCAAATCTAAACAATTTGCGATAAAAGGACTTCATTATATATTCTTCACAGCATTATCTGCTTTCCGTCCGATTTAGATATGATTAATTCAACGCAAATGTGAGAGTTTATGCAGATAGCTCCAATGTGCAGGTATAACTTCTTGTGATGATTCCTTTTATAATTCTTAGCTCATGTTTATTATGGCTTAAAACACAACTTTAACTTTTTTTAATTATGGCTTAAATTTACACAACTTTTGGTTAAAGAACGGGGATGTTCTATTCAACGTTTTATAATCATTTCTCAACTTTTTGGTGAGAAGTTGGAAGTTCAATGTACTAAAATGGTGTCACTTTTTATTGTTATAAAGATATCATTTTAATATTGTCTCAAAATAGGTAGATAGCGCTATAAAATGGCATAATATAACCATTAAAAGGTCACGCCTTAAATAAGTTTAATGTTAAGCTCAAGCCCGATTTGGCTAACCTTACGTAACCTAACTGTAGCAATGATGACAAAAGGCTTACAGGAAACTTATAGGAAAAAAAATAATTAAGCATTTTCTCAGTAAATTTCTGATTCTGACATTTAGAAGAAATATGTTTTTAAGGAAATACCTTTTTGACAGTTTGTCAAACTGTTCATTGGTAGGGATGCAAGATCTTTTCATTTTTCTAAATTCGACGGGATGAATATAGTTTCAACATTTTGTATTTTAAGGTTTCTTGTGAGAAATGTGATAACAAAATGTCGAAAAATCATTAATTGAGGTCAGCGGAAAGTTATTTGTTGACCTGTTAGTTTAATCCACCAACCCACCAATCAATCAACCATATATCATAACATTAAGTTATCTTAACTTAGGAGCCATGTTACTAAACTGTTCTGTCATTATATATGTGTTTATAAAACATGTGACTAAAATATCTATCAAAGCTGTCTAGTTTATAGCGTCAAAATAATTTCTTTTACATGTAAAATTCAAAGTTTTTTGATGTGCTATTTTAGTAAAAAATGATTCAGGTGCATTTATTAATACACAAGTATTCGAAAACGAAATTCTAAATTTTCTAAAGGTCAAATTCTGTCGTTACACAGACCTAGATATGCTGTGTAAGTCTATATTTCATTCACGATTTCGTAACGTCAATTTATTTTCAGCTTCAAGGTCGTTGTCTAATGTGTGCTATTCAAATCGTTGATTTCAGTCGATCTACTGGCGATGCGATCATTAAATATAATTGAATTGTTTTACAAAAATACTATATAGATGTGAAAAATAAACGGCCGTACTATATGTAAAAGAAAGGCCCAAGTTCTTAAAATCTCAAAAAATAATATCAAATAAACAATATATAAACAAATTTTCCATTATCACTTTAGCACTACTCATACAACAATTATTTGTTCGCATCTTCTATACTTTGAATATTTTGCTTTCTCTTTTGAAAACCGCCCCTGTGCGCATGACTCGACCTACACAAAAAGCCAGAATACACACCACTGAATCAACGTGTTCTCGCTCTTCGGTTAGTTGAGTGCATGGTTACGTTGAGCGAACACTAACAAATCAGCCAAAGCAGCTAAAGCAGCCACTAGTAGGCCAAGCGTAATTGATGTCGGAGTTAATTTTTCTTTGTTGAATTGTAAAATTTCAAAATAATTTTAGTGCGCAATTAAAAAAACAGAACAAAAACATATTTACACTATATATTTGCGTTGTTTTAAATATATTTAATGAAATTTAACTTTTATTTACAAATTTGCTACAATATTACCACTGGGACCTTCAATTCCAATTTGTGAAGCAAGAATCGATAAAGAAGAAAAGCAAAGACCCAAAGCCAAAACGAAAATAATAACAAAGGCGACAGAAACTGAAAGAAACTGAAAGTTTGTAAAATAACCTTAGAAAAATAATAAAAATTAAATTGTGTTTATTACAAATATTACGAAAATTACGAAAATTATAAAAGCAAAGTGCAGTTTGTTTAATTAATGCGACGATGCCATCCTTGCTGGAAGCATTAGAAAAGAAGTACTGGGCACCAGACAATGATTTCAATGAGAAAGCCATAAGCTCTTCCAATGCTGATGCACAAGGAGCTGCAGCGGCTGAAGAACGACTCATATCCATTTTCATACCCAGACAATCGCCCCTAATGTGTGTACCCGAACTGCTGGTTTTGAATGATTGCGACATCGACTGTGCTGGCGATTTCGAAAGTATTAAGGAAAAGTGTCAACGAGTGCGCGAATTGGATTTAGCACAGAATAAATTACAAGATTGGCAGGAAGTCTTCCACATAGTGAAACACATGCCTCGCATTGAATTTTTAAATTTAAGTAAAAACCACTTAGTGGGACCCATATCAGAGCTGCACGCTCCAACAATTTCAAATCTGCGTAGTATTGTGCTGAATTGCACTTATTTGGATTGGAATTGCGTGGATGTGCTATTAGAAAATTCACCTAAATTAGAGGAATTGCATTTAAGCTTAAATAACTATAAAGAGGTGCTCATAGATACAAACACAAACGAAGCAGCTACAGCTACAGCTACACCAACAGCTCACGATCGGGAGCACAATATCACGGAGAACAACGACAACGACAACATCAACGACATTAGCCAACAAGCTTGTAATGCGAACGAGTGTTGTTGTTGTTGTTGTCTCGCGGATACAACGAATACGCAGCAGCAAACTGAAGCGTCAAAGGCTAGTGAAGATTGCAAGTATTTAAGGAAAACATCCGCACATAAAGCACTAAAGACGCTACATTTTACTGGTAACCCCATTGAGTGCTGGCACGAAATATGTCGTCTGGGACGTGTATTTCCATACTTAGAGAACTTAGTCTTAGCTGACTGTCCTATTAAAGCGATTTATGCGCACGAAGGTGACAATCAAACAGGTGCTGAGGATACAACCCAAACCGATGAGCAGGAAAATGACTGCCCTTACAAATACTTTCCAAATCTTGTGCTACTTAATTTAAGTTCTGCCAATATAAATACCTGGGACGATATTGATAAGTTAGCGAAGTTTCCAAAACTAGAAAATTTACGAGTTAAAAATTGGCCCCTATGGGAACGGCTGGAATGTACAGAACATGAACGCCGACAACTATTAATAGCACGTCTTCCTAATGTAAGTCTCCTGAATGGCGGTGGCGTTATTACCGCAGATGAACGTGAAGATGCAGAACGTGCATTTATACGACACTACACAGATAAACCAGTAAGTGAAAGACCTAAACGGTATGAGGAACTTTTAACCAAGCATGGCAAACTAGATCCACTTGTTAACATTAACTTAAAGCCTGATAAACACGTTAAGGTGCTAATCATTTATAATGATACTACTCAACCGCGACTAGTAGATATTAATCGTACTGTTGCCGATTTGAAGGTGAGCTTAGAGAAAGTGGTGGGCCTACCGGCGAACAAAATGCGTTTATATTATCAAGACCAAGACTACAAAGAATTCGGACCAGAGCTTATGAAATACCCTAACAAACTACTGTACAGCTATAATTTACAGGCTGGTGATGAAATCATCGTCGATGAAAAAAAATAATTTCAAGTGATTATACAATTTATTTGTAAATACGAACGTAGCGTTAAATATTGTAAATTGAGATCTTTGTTTAAATTTTCAATAATTGATTTTTATTTTAGTTGTAGTAAAATTGTATATACAATAGTATACATATATATATATATAAATTAATGACCGATCTAAGTGATATATACGTAAAATTATACTTCAAAAATGCGCAATAAAATTTTATGAAAATTAATTAAATTTTTTTGTCTTCATAAAATAAAAATTTTATATAGAAATGTATGAAGCGGCACGGGTACTTAGTGAAGGATGGGTGAATTCAGTAATGACGCATAGTGGTGCGATGTATCGAAGGAAATTAAATGGATTATTTAGGAGCATCGGAGCCAATCTATTGTGTTTTGTGTTAGTAGTGACTAAGCCTTATACCAGTAACACTATTTTTTCATATACCTATATTGCCAAATTACTGTTTTTTAACCCAAATTATTTTAAATCTTACACTGTTTCATAATATTTTAAAATTTTATATTTTCTTTTATTAAACTGGTTTGCGGATTTAAATTTGGTCGTCTGTTATTGATGAGATCAAGAAACTGTAATAAGCATTTCCAGACGAAAACAGAAAAACAAAACCATATGATTTGAAAGACAATACAGCCAAAGAAAAATGATTAGTACAAATCAATATAAAGTAATATCATTTAAACCAATGTATAGACTGAATACAAAGCAATTCCATTTAAACAAATATGTAGAGGGTGAGTAATAACCAAAAAGTGAATGGGAATGTTATTTATTTTCATACATATGTTAAGCCTTTAGTTCTAGGATTTTTCCTATTCAAGGAGTGCTTGAAATTTAAGAAGGAAAATGGAACTTATTTCTATACATATGTGAACTCGCTAATTCATTTATTTTTTTTGGTTTGAAAACATTATTTAAAGTAACTCAGTAATATTTAAAAAAGTTTATATATCAAGAATATAAAAATCATAATGGTTTTGCAAAACATTATGTGACATATTTTCAATGGTTTAAATGGAAAATATCACACCGGTTTAATTTTAGTTGCTAAGGTTTCTTGAGAACTATAGGACATAATAATTGGATTTTATGCAATTATTTAAGAATGGAACATATGATTTCAATGATTACTGAAACTACACACCAGTTTAATTTTAATAATTGAATAAAA